ATGACAAGTTTTATACTTTTTGTGTTTGACCTTTGAGTCATTATAATATGAATACAAAAGTAGTTGTCGTTGTAATTTTTCTTATGATTATTTACTTTAAAACTATTTTTTGAATTAAAATACCTACTCTCTAGTTACTGATGGTGATACCTATATTATAGAAAAAATCTAAATTTGAAAACTTAACAAAAATCAAACAAATGATCACTTTTATATTCATGAGCATATATGGCTAGCATAAACAAAGGATAAATCGATAAACCTGTAACTGAACCTGGCATGGAACGAATCCAACAACAAAAAATGTCAAGTTTGACAATCCTCAAAATATCATTTTAAATAAAGAAAATATAAACAAACGCAGATGTAGTAGATGTGAATAAACAAATAATAATGCTCCAGAGGTAAAAAATGTGCATATTCAAATGCAAGCATATGAAACGAATAGTACATGACATTCAATCAAGTCACTTAAACATAAGAATGAATTCTTTTGTTTCGTTTTCAATAATTTCTATTGGGAGATCATCTCCACTATCTAAATTGCTTAAAATTCTGTAAAACAGTGGTATAATATAGACTGCATAGGCATTATGTTTAAATGAAGTAGAAATAAACCTACCTAGCCTCCTTTGCATTAACTTCTGTAGCATGTTCTCTTTTTGATTACTTGGCAAAAATTAAGTAGCAGTAGCATTCCTTCTAATCACAGTTTTATCACTGACTAAAATTCAAAATGCTTCGAACATATTTTAAAATTTTCTTTGTGTGATCTTCCAATACTTTTTATCTAACCTAAAACAGATAAAAATTAATAAATATAATTTATAACTACATGCTGGTTATGAAACACATTTAATCTGGTAACTTACACAATAATGAATGATTTTGGTTAGTTTTCAATAATTTCTTTTGGTAGATCTTCTAAAGCCAGCACTATTAGAACTGCTTAAAATTCTATTAAAAAATGGTTTGAAAAGTTTACTAAAAAAAAGAAGGCTTCATTATAAATAGTGTTAGCACGCATATAGGGTATTACCTATATTTAAATGAAATAGAAATAAAACTTACCTAGCATCCTTTGGTGAAATTTTCTGGAACATGTTCTTTTTTTTATTACTTGGCCAAAATAAAGTAGGAGTGGCATTCTTTTTAATCACAGTTTTATCACTGACTAAAATTCAAAATAAGAAATGCTTGAACGATTTTGAAATATTTCCTTGGCATACATTTTCTTTATAGGAGCTTCCATTACATTAAGCCTTTTTTTTTCTAACCTAAAAGACAAATAAAAACGAATAATTATATATAACTAGATAAGGTTTTTATTAGAACCCCAGTATGGATATTGGGCTAGAACAATAATTAAATACCTAATTGATTCATCCAAAAATAATTGTTAAATACGGGTCTGTATTGGTGTTAAAAACTTACTTATGACAAGTTCTTCGGAATTATTTCATCGGTTTGGACAGAATAAAACTAAACATGTTTTAACCATTGTTTATAGAAGTCTTTAAGACGTCTTTAGGGATCAAAATAACTTTCCAAAACTCACAAAAACTTTAAAAATCGTATAAAAATTGCTAAAAATAACAACAATCACAAGACAACTAAATGTCAAATGTCACAATATTCTAACTAATGCGCAGACTCAAATCCTCCCCCGCATTTACGCTATCGTAAACGTTTTTGCTTGCCACCCGGGCAGCCATTTTCCTATCTCCCCTCTTCATGTCTATGGTTTGATCTTTAAAAGTAGAAATTTTAGTTGACACTTGACGTTTTCGGGATATGAAAAGTTTTCTTTACACGGACTTGGTATACCTGGTTAGTTGAATGTTTGTTCTGCTGCTTTTCAAATTTGTGTGTATGAGCGAGATGTGAGATACCTTTATAGACAACGGTTGAACAACTTAATTACTTTGAAGAAGAAAATAGATTAGATATCAGGGCAGTCTTCGCAAATGTGAGAAGGCAGAACCGTTTTAAATTTTTTTTATATATGTGAAATATTACTTTTTAGTGAAAAGTTTAATTACTTTTAGTTCAAAATATAACGTTAGCTTGTCAAGGAAAATATATAACACACAAGGTTAGAGTAACAAAATAAAGGTTTTGCTTTATTTCTTAAGAATTACTCTAATCTAAAACTTTTCTATGTTGTAGAAATTTATTCTATACGTTATTTAGGTACTTACTGCAAAATCTATGTAGTTTTAAATATAAAAATTTATAATGGAGACATATTTAGTGTAGTTTTGTTTTTTTTTACAAATATATACTCAGTGACTTGTTTTAGTGAATGAGTTCAAGTATGGCAGACTAAAATCGTTACGTTTTATTATAAATTTATTTAAAAATGGGAACTATATGTATATGGTTTGCGTAGTTTTTACACTTGTAATAAAAATATCAAAGTTATGTTTATTTGCCATTTACTACACACAGCAAATTCATAGACACTATACATATCACTATTTGACATTCTTATTAAACTCATTAATTTAAAATTAACTTTAAACTGAGTGACTATACACAGAATTGTTTGAAAGCAGCCATAAGGTATAATTTATTTATTGGATACTATAAAAAATTAATAGTAGTTACATGTAGAGTTAAGTAACAAGAACTTTATAAACAAAACAAACCTTTATATCTAGTGAACTTAATTTAGTACAGTCCTCAACTTTCTTAGGCTAACATTAAAGATATCTATTTGGACATCACTAAAAAACTCATTGGTAACAGCCATTATCTTGTTAAAAGGAAATATACTACTTGGATCTAAACTAAATAATTTTTTGTTACTTGGGATTCTTAGATTAATATTTGCCACATTAAAATTTATATAGTCAATCAAATCACAATCTTTGTACTTAATATTATTTAAAATAGAGTACAAAATATATCACAGTTGCTTTTTTCTTTGTAAAAGAGATTTAATCTTAAAACTATAGAGCATAGTTTTATATGAGATCTTATAAAGGTACAAGTATTTTTTATGGCATAAAGGTACGGTAAAAATATTTTTTGTACTTTTTCAATATGATCAATATGTGTGGCTTTCAAGGGCATCCATATTTGTGAAACATACTCAAGATGGGGTCTTAGTAAGGCATTATATAATCTGATTTTGGTGGTAATTCTAAATTTTTTTTGTATTTCTGATTTAAAAACCCAAAGCTTTTATTGTTATTTTAGTTATGTGTAAGAAATGGTTAATAAACTTCAAATTAGACTGAAAGACAACTCCAAAATCCTTTATCTCATATTCACGATTTAATGTGACATCACAGGTCTTGTGTCTAATGTAAAAAATTAAGAGGCTATGGATCCTTACAACTTAAAATATTCATATGTTTGTAAGTGTTAAATGGACGGATAAAAAGTGTTGTTTTTATTTACAATTATAATAAGAAACATATCATTTTTGATACCTGATAATCAATAAACAATATATTTTTTGGAGTAGTAACAGATTTATTAATACACAACTATTATTTTGTTACAAATATTTATATTATAATATTTATAATTAACATAATAGTTGATATAAGTCCTTTAAAAATAATATATTTTGATTTAATTGTTGAATTTATACACGAGCAATTTTCCTTGTAGCGTTGTTTACATTTTGCAAAGAACTATTGTATTCTGCTTTTAGCTGATAAATCATGTACATGTAAACGGGTTGAATGTAGACAATGTTAATGTTTTTGCTACTACTGCTGGCTAGGAACGCTGGGCTGGGACACAAACACAAAAAAACGAAGCTCAAAGCACTAGATCAGTTTCTATCACTTATACACTTACAATTTACAACCATTCAAGGAACTAGCATGTTGGAAATACTTTACGAAAACATATTAAACATAAATCAGTCGAATGCAATGTATTTTCTTCTTATAAGACACATTTTTAGCTTGATTGCTTCTAGTACTCTATTTATTCCAATTTCCTCAAATAAAACGAGCAATAATACGTAACAATAAGGATAAAACACACACTAAAGTGTATTTGGGGTATTTTTGATCTAAATTCACTATCAAAACAACAAATTTTCCGTTTTTAAGTTGTAAATGTATTACAAAAACTACTTCGATAAAATGTAAACAAAAGTTTGTATTTGTGTACGAAATATGGATTGCCTGCGCATGGTAGCGAGTTTTTAACCGGATTTATGACAAGTGATAGGTTATATCCCGAAAACGTCAGCGCAGTAAAAGCTGCGTGTCTTTTTCCCGCCCAGGGAGTGTCATGGGCCTGCCGGAACTAACCACTTGTTACCAGTGTCGTGCATTTAAACGGTTTATCTTTTAATATTAATTCATCTATGAGTATATTATTCAACGAGTGGGTAATGATGGCTATTACTCACGAAGATGAAGTTTGTACTACGCAGGAAATAGCAAGAAAGTGAATTTTGATGATGTTAGTTTAGTTGACAAAACGCGTGTCAGATAGGTATATGAAAAATAAGCATATACAGAATGTTTCAAAAGGAATAGTAAATATGTTAATCATATTAATATTTTGTAATGTAATTTACTTCCGAGATAAAGTTAAAATTAATGTTTTATAATATTTTCGTTACTATTTAACGTATTAATTTGAAAATGGGTATTGTGGGATCTTTTAAATGTCGGATCCCATCATAAATAAATTGTTTTACTAAGATGTATAAGATCTATTTAATTCGTAGAATAAAAAGACATATGTCTTGCATATAAAAATATAAAAGTCAATATCATGATCAATAATAAATCTTAGCAACCAAAGTTGCTTAGGAGATGAGTTTATCCTTTGTCATACAAGGACTGCCACAAATTGAAGGGTTAGCTAAAAAGTGTTAAGTGTGTGACATTTTAACGTATGTAGTGCAACTGAGGCGCTACAGGTATGGTTACATTTTATGCTAGTAAATCATAAGCATGTTATCAATTTGATAATCATTGCAATAGCTTTTAAAAATAATTTAAAAACAAACATAAACTTACTTCAGAAGAGCTGCACTGATGAACCAATTCAGCCAATACTCTAGCTAGTAAATGACAACAAAATTTCGACAGATCTGATGAATATAACAAAGTATTCTTTTGTAAACTTCTTACAACAGGATTAGAAGCTAAATTTATGAGACATTCTAAGACATCACTCCATTGCCATGATATACCGCTAGAAACTGATTCCATCTAAAAAAAAATAAATGTTACTTGCAAGTTTTTTATAGGGAACAGCATTGCTATTTCTTAAATGGTAACAGATAGACAGTTGGTTAAATTGGATAAAAGCTGCGCAGTTTTGTGCTTATTAAAATGGTGCCAAGAAACCTTTGATATCTACAGGTAGATTCAAAATATAGGAATAAATTTAAAGAAATGACAATTTTAATTTTTTTATTCGATATTTTGAATCTTCATATAGATACATTAAAGGTTTCTCGACACCATTTTAATGGACACAAAACTACGCAACTTTTGTCTAATTTAACCAACTTTCTATCTGTTACCATTCAAGAAATAACCAATACTGCCTCTATGAAATAGCAGGGGCCTCGTATAAGAATTAAGGACATACTTGGCTTTTGTAACTCATCTGTTCAACCAATACTGGATAATGATGCGAATCTGAAATGCTCATCATGGGAAGTCCCGTATTGTCGGATGGACTTAAACCTCTATTTAATGCGCTTTCAGAGCAAATACTTTGGCCAATCAAAGGAAAAGTACTTCTTAACCTCACACTCGATGCGCACAATGCGCATAATACTGCGCTTAATAATCTTTGGCTACTGTTATAAATATATTGTCCATTTTCCTTAAAATAAGAAGAAATAAGTTCAATACACTTAAAACCGACTGTAAAATTAAAAATTATGTAAGTAAAATTGATCTAAAACCCCAGATAGCACACGACGTCTGAAAGACGTCTTTTTTGTGTCTTGGTTTGGTCTCAATGTCCTAGGACGTTATTAAGACGTCTGTCAAAAGCCATAATTCAGACGTATTAATGTGAGAGCTCAAAGACGTCTTAAAGGCGTCTTTCCAAATCCATATATTAATGTGAAAGCTGAAAGACGTCTTAAAAACGTCTTTCAGTCGGGCGGAAACTTGCACGGTTTACATAATTCACATTTAAAAGAAGAATCAAATGAAGTGAAGTTTGACGTTTGACTTAACACTACATTCAAGCCCAAGCTTATTGTGAATTATTGATTATTCTATTGCGTACGCGATTATAGCCGCCAAAAGTGTGTTTGGGCTTATTTGTGTTTGGTCTCTTGTTACTTAAATAATATGGGACTAAAACGAGAGAAAGAAGAATAGTGGAGTTTCTGTTACCGATGTATCATGTATCACGTTCCTGGAATACTTTCTACAGGTAATAAATGAATATTTGTTTATATACATAAACATTAATATCCTGTTTCTTCTAAATAAGAATAATTAAATGAATTAAAAAGTAAACATCTTAATAGAAGATTTAATTCAGTTATTCGTCAATTTCCTTTTTTTTTTAATTTTATGGAGATTTCAAGAACTATTGATATCAAAAGCCATATGTTAGATAGCCATTTTGAGTGAAGTTAAAGTAAAATTGTCAAAATAAGCGATTAAGTATAATAGATCATCTTATCTTAAATGATTTATTATAAAAATTGATTTAAAATTGTAAGAAATTAATTTTTTGTTTTTTTTCATAATTGTTCTTTCGGTTTTTACTAACTTTTACTATAACTTCCTGTGACTATAATGCTCTTACCTAAATTTCTTTTTAGGAGCAAAGGCAACTTCAAATCAAAAAGAAAGAAAAAAATCAATCCAGTTATGGCTAAAGAGGAGTGATCGAATGCGCTACAAAGAAAATAACTTTTAGTGACCTGTGATTAATAGATATTTTATCAATAAATATTTTTAATTCTATTTTTTTCATTCTTCATAACCTGCAAGGTTATTCTACTAATTTTAATGATGCACGATGATACCCATTTTTAAATTATTTTATATTATTATAAACAGGTTATAGAATTAGCAGAATAAAAATAATGAACGTATTATTTATGGCTTATTTAAGTTTAACCAGACCATTATAAGCCATTAATAAAACATCTTGAAGATGTATAATTTATGGCTTCACAAGACCATTATAAGCTATTAATAAGTCGTCTTAAAGACGTCTTATTTATGGCTTATTTAAAGCTTCACAAGACTATTATAAGCCATTAATAAGTCGTTTTAAAGACGTCTTATTTATGGCTTATTTAAAGCTTCACAAGACCATTATAAGCCATTAATAAGACGTCTAAAAGACGTCCTATTTATGGCTTATTTAAAGCTTCACAAGACCATTATAAGCCATTAATAAGTCGTCTTAAAGACGTCTTATTTATGGCTTATTTTAAGCTCTACAGACCAATATAAGCCATTAATAAGACGTCTTAAAGACATCGCTTTTTGTAACATCAGACGTCTTTCAGGAAATACCAGACGTCTCGAATGTCTTATGCTAGACGTCTTAAAGACGTCTTTAAGACGACTTTGTGCTATCTGGGACTGCCTCTTTTTAAAATAAATTATTCGTCGGTTCACAAGCAAAACACACTAAGTCAGATTTTTAATTTTTGGCTGGATTTCTTCCGCTCTATACACTGAAAAAAATCCAATATGTCCGCTAAGAATTATAACCTTATTTTTAAATTATTTTTATATTCATTACATTCATACTTAATAGCATTATTTTATTCAGAAAAAATACATTAAGTAATTTAATGGATTTTTCATCGAATCTGACATAATTTTTAAAATATCTTTTCTTGAGGTAAAGACTTTAACTTAAAAATATGTATACAGGGTGGGGACTTTAACTGGAACTAATTCAGCTAGAGCCTCAGGATAAAATATTTGGATAAAACGCAAAAATAGGCCGATTGAGTTTTTTTTGGGCCTCAGCATGATTGTCTATATCCACTCTTGTTGTACAAACTAATATTATGATTTTATATATTAAATTATTATCCTGTATATGATATAAATTATTTTATTTATTTAAAATGTTTATTTCATAAGCATATATCTTGTTATTGCAATTTCATTTCACTTTTTGCAGTCTAATCTATTCATTATTTTAAAAGAATGTTTCTTACCTTATTGCTTTCATTCAGCAAATCGCACAAACATGTCCATTTTAAATGAGCCGTTGGATAAAATGCGTGGAAGCACGATACGAAAGTATTATGACATTCATCTAATACGTTATTCATTAAATGTATGCACAAAGTGTTGCTCCTGCTGGACTTCTTATTTTGCATCACGACTGGGATATTATCGGATAAAATTTGTTTAAGAAGAGTTCTGACGTCTCCTATACATTCTGCTAACTGCACATTCTCTAAAGACATTTTTTTGTTTATATGCCTAGGGTAAATTTCATTTGTATAGGTACATATCAAACGTAAACTAGCTCTACTAATATAAACCAATCGCTCCAATTCTAAACTTGTATAAGATATTTTATGGGATTGACCTTCTACAATTCCCCATTTAAAAGTATTCCATGACCATTGAAGGAGCGACAGTAAGCTTTGGAAACACTCCCTGGTGACTGTCCTCGAAAAGTCTTTGGATAGAATATGAACCGGCTCGGTTATGTCACTTTGTCTTGGAGAAGCTTGATTTTCCGGAGTTATTATTTTATAAAGTATCTGAGGAATTTGTCCAGCATTAACATCAGTACCATTGTTCGATTTTTTGGATGATTTGAAATAGAACAGTATCTGGTCTTCAGTTGTTACCATAGTTTGACCGGAAGATCCACAATCGCTACTGGGACCGCTAATTCGACACCAACCGACATACCAGCGATGAGCCTAAAAATTAATAATATATGTACCGAAAACGCTTAAAATTCTATCAATAAATGATGTTTTAATTCATGAATAAAATTGTCGCAAGAACAGTTGTTACATGTTCTGTTGATTTGTTGAATGTTTACAACTTATAACAAATATATATTTTTTCTTAACTACCACTGAAGGTTTGTAGAATATATAAATAGGCATTTAGAGACAAAAAAAATTTCACCCCTCAAAGGACAAGTCACTACACTTCACTTCATTCTAAATGTAGGTGGGTGTGGGAGAGGGGGTGAATTCCCCCTCCCTTAAGTGTAAGCAAGGGTGTAACATTTGTTTCATGAATCGAGTATTTTGAGATATTGGTTGTATAGATAATGTTGGGGCAGTAACGATACTAACGCTAGAGATAAGTCACTGTATGATTATATAATTACCAAAAATCTTTGCATTTTAAATAAAGGTACTACACCAACATTTCTAAACTCTCGCAGTCAAACACTAATAGATATCACTTTATCCACAACTGGTATCTACATAGAAAAATAAAGGTATCTATAAATCAATTCTAAACTGGCAAGTGTCTGATAACATTGCGATGTCAGACCACCGCCGGTTAACATTCAAAATAAACTTGATGTTGGCGATCTCCACGCTATCTCGGACCCCTAGGAAGACGGACAGGGCAATCTATGCCCATCTTCTCCAAGAGGCTCTGAGAGAGATGGAGGCCGAAACACCAAACAATAACAATGCTTTGGAGAAGTACTCAAACACTATTCAAAGCACAATAAACAATGCCTATAAGAAATCCTGTCCCCTGAGGCTGGTCCAACACGATCAGACGACTACGGCATGGTGGTGTCACGAGTTGGATCACCTCAGGAAGATGGCTAGGAAATCCTTTAATAAGGTATGAACCACAAAACTCAAAGAGGACAGGAATACTTACAAATCTCACTTCAGAAAATACAAAAAAATCGTCAGACAAAAACAGAGAGATGCGTGGAGATCCTACTGCAAAGAAATCGAAGATTTCCCGCAGGCAGCGAGTCTTCAAAAAGCTCTCTCAAAAGATCCACACCAGAGCATTGGTGCGCTAATCAAAGAGGATGGCACGAAAACTGCCAACCTCGAAGACAACAGAACAATTTATCATCGAGTTACGAAAACAAGCAGCCAAATGCAAGTTAGAAGCACTTCAAGACAGCTTAATAGTTACCATGATTACCTGTGGTATTAATAATAATAAAATTAAGGAGAAACTATTGCAAGAAGATAATTTAAGCTTGGAGAAAGCCATATAATTGTGTAGGGTGTTGGAGACTTCAAAAGTCAGAAGTGATGTCATGGCAGGGTCCAGTGCCACATATGAAGAAGTGTATGAAGTAAGAAAAACAAATAAAGAAGGTTATAATCAGACTAAAATGATAAACAGTTGTATGAAATGCGGTAAGTCACATAAAGTTAACAAATGTCCGACTTTTGTAAAATAATCAATCACTGTGAATCAGCATGTATGGAAAAAAAAGATTAATTTTCGAATAAATAAAGGTTTCTTAACAGAACTCAAGAGTGAATGAGATATGTACTGATTCAAATGCTAATGACAATAATTACTTATTTGTAGGATCTATCACAAAAAATAAACAAATTAAAACAGTATCGGTAACCAATTTGTGGGAGACTGAATTAAAAATTCAAAACAAAATAATTAAGTTAAAAATAGATACAAAGGCAATGGCTAATGTATTGCCATTAAACATTTTTGAGGCTTTAGAACTATGTAAAGATGTAATAAAACATACACCGGTTAGGTTATAATCCTATACAGGTGGTAGTCTGAATGTTGTCGGCAAATGTATACTACCATGCTACAAAAACTATATTATAACTGATCTAAATTTTTACATATTAAATTCAAATACTACAGCAATATTCGGCTTAAATTCCTGTGTTCAATTAAATTTAATTAAAAAAATCGAGTCTATTGAAAGTCAGAGTGATTACTCTAAGTTGGTTGACAATTTCAAGGATATTTTTACAGTGATAGGCTGTATGAAAAGTAAGTACCATATTAATATTGACAAAAATGCTAAGCCAGTTGTTCATTCTACTAGGAAAAGAAAAATACCTCAGAAACTGAATCTTTAACAAATTGTTTATTTACTCTTATAAAAAAAAGGGAGATGTCATGAATGTAACATACATTATGTAACTGTTAGCTATTAGAACAGTCATAAGCGAGTTGACAGTTAACAGCAAGACAAAAGTCACTCAATAAATGTTCGTGCTCGACGAAGGTGTTTCATTTCTTCACCATAATTACAATTACTTATTCCAGGTTAAATACTAGTCATCACGGCTTATAAATGCATACAAACAAATAACGAAACAAATGCTACAAAGAGGTTAGTGAATTTATAATGTCTAGCAGGGCAAACTTAAACAACCATATTGAATTTTAATATTGATCTGCCTTTTATTTTGAATAAGCGATTACATTATTTTCAGATTCAGCTGAGAAGGCAAATATGGCCAAATCAAGAAAAAAACAACTGCTGTCAATCCAGACATGGTTGAAAAGAGCAAAGTAGAGGAGAGACGAATTTGACGAAAAAGTTTTAATAATTTTATTAATCATGGGTTATTTGCTTCCAAATAAAAAATTTTGAAATTATTTATTATTTTCACTAATTTCCTTAAATATCCTGTTATTCCCCATTTGAGCTTTTGAAAATGTCCGTGGAATGTTCTTAAATGGACGTTTTTAAGACATCCTGATTATTAACAATGGACGTTTCAAAGACGTCCACGTCCGTGAAATGGACGTTGTAAGGATGTCCTGAAAATCCAAGCAGGATGTTTTTAGACCATCCATAAGACGTATTTGTGCTATCTGGGCTTGTTTTAGCAGTAACCCAACGGATTCCAAATGTTTATTTAAAAATTAGCGTGATATTTAGCGCAGTGACCGATTAATGTTTTTGCGCATTCCGCTCCAGATTTCAAATATAGAAACTTATAGTTTTAAAAAACACCTTCTTAGAAGTATTTCGGGCCGCAAAAAAAGCCTGGAGGCCCACATGCGGCCCGTGGGTCGCATGTTGAGTATGGCTGCCCTACAAGAATATGCCTGGATAAAATTTTTATCTCAAACGGCTCAAAAGTTATAGCATTTTTAAAGAACAAAATTTGTTTGCGTGTTATTTAAATGGGAAATTTCTAATGGCCACAGACATCTTTTAAAATTGAACTAAAAATTTTTTCCAATGGGAGAATTTTTTTTAACCCTTTTTTAATCATTTTGAGACCATAAATTCAATACGTTAGTCATTTTGGTTAACCTTAAAGACCAGATTAACATATTCAAAATAAAATAAAGAATGAAATTTTTGTTGAAAGCTCTGTTGACTGTTCTACAATGGAGTAAAATAAAATACAACATAAATCTTACCTGCAGGGACACAGGTTCGTCAAATAAAATCGGAAACTTTTGTCGAGGGCCACATTCGTAAGGAATTTCTTCTGTTTCAGCTAGCAATTCTCCATCAATCTCTTGTTCTCCTCCTTCCGGTCCGATATCGAGTAATTTAATTTTAGCCGTATATTCTCCTCTGCCGCCAAACAATCCAAACCCTCCAAGCAATATATCCGTATCAGCCATGAAACGTATGGCTTCTATACTATGGCCGGAATAACCCCAACCACCACCGTGACTCTCGAATCTATTCACCGACTGGAAGTCTTCCTTGGAATATTGCTTTCCTGACATCAACTGTCTTTCGTCCACAGTTTCATTAACTGCAGTTATTTGCAGTTCATGTGCTATTGTCAGTATATCCAAGCAGCATAATAAATTTATAGCTGCTTGAAAACGTGTAACATGACAATTTGTTGTAACGGGTAACGCCAATTCCGGTGACAGAATAGAACCCAGCTGCACATTTCTATCGTTATTTTTAGCATCTTTCACAGCCTTAAGCTCGCTCATAAATCTATCGCCAGTTTTATTGACGTTTCTGATAGTTTGCAATTCGCTGGCAATTACATTGTAAGCTGTAAATTCGTTAGTAACGTAACTGTAAGACCACAAAACATTGTAGATCGGATCCATACAAACGATTTTATTACTGAAATCGACTTGATTTAAAGATTTGAATGAATTGCAATTTCCATCTCTTTTGTTGATTACCAAACATTTGAAATTCTTGGCGGTTTCTTCTTCATTGGGAAGCAACACTATAAACAGTTGAAGAAATAATAATCAATACAGAACATTTATTTGAAAAATACTAACCTATTGAATTTTTGTTAGCAGTAACTGTCGATTTCGAAATACTAACGGAATTAATCAAGCTTTCGTCTAATTTCAAAAAAGTTTGATCACCAGACGCTCCTACCCAAGTGGCTCTTCGGCCATGTCTTGGGCCTATGTTTGGAATTGGTCCTGGAAAACTGTACCATGGTGTTCTTGGATTCGAAAAGCGAGAAGATGAACTGTTTCCTGGTTGAGTGACATCTTGAGAAATAGTATTATTCGGAGTTCTTCCTAGCTGTCCTTTCTAAAAGGGAGCAACCAAAATCAATACATTTGATTAAATAAAAAGGTACTAATTTTTTAAATAAAATTACGGGGATATACAGGAATAGTTTAAATGTTAAAAGAATGCTAATACTGTTCAAAAACTAAGAGAGAAGTCACAAAAAAAGAGTCAGTGGTCATTAAATTGCAGGGACATATAGAAGTTTAGGTATTTGCGGGATAAGTTTAACAAAACGATGTTGTACCTAGCAGGGACAGAAGTTAGAAAGGGTTTTGGTAGCTAGAGAGGTGGTAAACGTCAAACCCCGTCGGGTGTTTCTTCGGCATTATCGTAAAATAAAATGATACCAAACATTTTAAATTATTACTGGCGGAATCGGGCAAACGTATCTAATTATGGGTTACAAATAATTATTTAAAGTAATAATATCCCAAATCATAATTCTACAAAATTTCAACAGCTATTCATAATTTATTAAACCTTTTACGCGAAATTGTTAATAGTATTTATAAAATAATTTTCTACGCCAATGTTTAGCGTTCAATTCGGTTGGCTCCGCGGCAAAACTGTCAATTTTTTTGCACATTCTATGAGATTCTAAATATTAATTTCTACATTTTGATAACACCCTGTATTTACTGTTGGCTTACCTGGGCATTTCCAAAAGTGTAAACTTCTCCCTTTGAAGTCAATATTACTGAATGGTTGCTACCTGCAGCAACTTGAGTTGCACTACTAGGAAGCCTTACTAATTGCACACTACTTTTGGTCAATATGTCGCCACATCCTAGCTGACCGTTTAGATTAGAACCGAATGTATATACCTTAAAACAAACAAAAATTAATAACAATTTGTAATCAATGTGTATTTCATGTTTTATTACTTTTAAAAAGACTAAAATCCTCTCATAAAAACAATAAATTGTGTTTCAGATATACAGATTTAAAATTAATTTAATTACATACCTGACCATTTTGTAAGAGCAATATAGTATGATGTAACCCACAAGATACTTGAATCACGGGACTATCAGCAGCTAAGAAAAGTTTCGATGGAGGTAAACATGATATCCTTGTGGCATCCCTTTCGACATCAGATCCTTGTTGTTCTTTAACTAAAAAAAAATATGTATGGGTATAAGTAGAAGGGAAATGTACTAGCAAATTGTGCTTCCCCATAGGGTCAGTGGAGTAATAATGGGAGGAAGTCCCAGCACGACCACAAAGTCAAACATATCATCAAAGTGATAAGTGATCATAAGAAAAAATAAAAGTAAGAGACGTCTAAATTGATTTACAATAATTACTAAATCAAATACATCATACATGTGTTAGAAGTAACAATAAATAAAAATTGAAATTGTCTTAAAATAAAAAAAAAATAGTATAATAATTAAATTAATTTAAAAGTTTCAAAAAAAAATAATATACATATAATGTAGAAAAAATGTACCTGCTGCTAAAACATTATTCTGCCTAATACTATTGTTTAATCTATGTGCAGATGAAGAATTTATGGTGGGTCTCGATTTAGATTTTAATAATTGTTTGCTGCAGCCTTGAATGGATTTTTTGCTTTTATTCTTTCTCTCTTCTAATCGGCTCTGTAACTAATTCAGTTTATGTATACAAATGAAAATAATTTAGATGTTATTGTAACTGTTATACCTGTTCTTGTAGTTTTGTCCTCTGTCTAGGAGGTATTACAGCTTTTTCTCGGAAAATTAAATCTAATCGCATCATTCCAGCCAAGTCGGCCAATTCTGAATTATCGACTACTTCTCTAGCACATATCCGGCAGCAACCGCAAATACTACAACCGCTGTCGCCCTCTCCACATCCACATTCCCTGAAAGTAATGATAATTAATTTTGACACATAAACTCAGTATAACAACATTATAGCTATATACGCAGTTCGCTTGTTGCCTTCAAACAAGCAACACCGGTTTAATATCAAAGTTCATAAAAAAAATATGTCTAGTTCAAGTGATGGGGAAGAATTCTCCGGATTTATGGATGTAGATATTTCCACGTCAACGAAAAGAAAATATAACGAGTTGCTAACGAATTTACAGCAATTGAATGAAGAATCGCTAGACGAATTTATCGGAATCTCCAAAAAAAAAAGGCTAATAGATAAGAATGGAGAATCGAGCGACACCTCCAAAAAACAAGTTAAAGATAACGAAGGATATTCCGTAGTTTCTTATAAAAAAATACAAAGCAAATCCAAAACCAAAATAATAATATTCCATCAAATAAAAATACAGGGAGATCTATAAACTTCTCACCACACATGAAAGAGTTCCAAAAAAAAAACAATTTAATAATATGTTCTATATTAACACCAATAATACTATTATTAATAGAATCCAAATGGCTGATTTGTGTGAAGAAACAAGACCAAATAATAGTGATATAATATTAAAGACAAAAAAAGAGCTATCTGCTAAAAAGTGTACTGCTAAAGCGATATTAGAAAGATCTTAAAAAATAACAATAAAATTATGGAATATAGCGCAACAATACCCTACAAACAAGTTTCAAGAGATAACAAGTCTACTCTTGTGTTATTGCCTCTGTCGAAAACGAAATATCGGAAGAAGAAATCTCACAAAAAATGGTCTCATCTGGAGGAAAGTTCCACTACTGTAAACGAATCATCTCAAAAAAGACAGACACTCCAACAAACTTCATAAGAATTATTACAAAAAAATCTAAAATTTTACAAAAGATTTCTCTCTGAATGATAACATTATATACAAATTCCGCCATTATGCTGTCTATACGAGCTCTCCGCCGCCTCCAACCCCAATTGAAGTTTGAACTTTTCCCACTTAACAGAAAACTGCACAAAAACAACAAAATGCAACAAATGTTCTGAAGCGCATTCCACGAACAAGTGTCCAACCACGCTACCCCCAAAAAGCAGTGGATGTGGCTCAGAAGATCATCAAGCTTGGTCATTTAAATGTCTTAAAAGATCAACAAAACCAATAACAGGAATTCCCAACTTACCAGTAAAAACATTAAATAAAAAATCTGACCAAATTAAGTACAGTTCATGTTATAATTATAAATTCTTATGTGCAAAAGCTGAACAAACCCACAAACAGAGTTAATAGAAAGACTACCATAGCGGAATACAGCTCACATTCAACAACGAAATTAAAATATTATACACTAATATAAACAGTTACTTTCAAAAGAAATATTTAGTGAACTATACGATAGAAAGGAAGTTAATAGACTGCCCTATTTGTAGAAAGTAAAACTAATGCGGAAATCAACACCAACTATAGAAATTAGGATGTAGTAAGACACGACGGAAATATTCTAAACCAAAACATAAGAGGAGGATCACTTATGCAAATAAATCCAAAGCTAAAAATGCGAAAACAAAGCTCGCCCAACATAAACGATTCCCGAAATGATGCTCTACACGTCAATGTCCCTTTCAATGATGACGAACTGCACATTATTTTGATATATAGCCACCCACATGCTTGAACCGACGATTATATCTTCAGAATGGCAGGAAGATTCAAATATATTGTGCTAATCAGTGACTTCAACCACCGCTCTCCAGGAAAATTAAAACTTTTATGCATAACACAAACTTGATTAAAGCGGATACTCCCCCTACTTTTTTTGATGACAACAATGAGGACTCCATCCCAGATTTTTACACTGACAATCTTAACAAGGCAATCAAGAATATAGAAGTAATCCTCGACATTGGGGCAGACCACCATTCTATAATGTTTACTATCGAGCAAGGAATTCCCTCTCCTTTTGCAGACCCATCTCTTAAATATAATTTCAATAAATCAAACATTGAAAAAATAAATAAAGAAGTAAACCAACTAATTTCAAACAACACTAATATTACTACTAATGAAGTCAATAACTTTCACACAAAAGTCTCCGAGATTATCACAAACAACACACCAAAACTGCAAACAAATATTTTACTTATGAACTTCCTAGATACATCGTAAAACTCATCAAAACAAAACGTAAAATACTCAGAGAATACAGACAAAACCCTAGTCGGGAAGTCAAAAGAAACATTAACAACTTTAACAAAGACATTTAAAAATTAGTAAAACAATTACAGCAACACACGTGGCTACAGACCTACCAAGAAATCAATCGAGAATAGGGAAGAAACTTCTATCATAAAATAAATAAACTGTCAAAATATAAAACAAAGAATAAAATTCCAAATATCACAGACAATGGTATAGACCAGTGGTCTCAAACTTTTCTGGTGACGGAGCCTTTTTGAAAAGTGAAATATTTGACGGAGCCCTAAACACATTTTGGAAAAAAGTCCTCCCTTGCTCTGGCCTCTTGCCAGGTCCCTCCCGTTTCTTCGCGGAGCCCCTACAACAAAATTCTCAAATTCATAATACGCCTTCCTCTCCTCCAACCCAAAATATCAAAATCGTATACTCTTTCCTCTACCTGGCTTCTAAAAAAAAGCCCTCCAACAGAAAATACCTCAATCATATACTGCTTCCTCTTCTTGACTTCTATAAAAAAGTCCTTAAACCCAAATAGCGATAGGTACTGCTTTTTTGTTGTTATTTTCTTCGCGGAGCCCCCACAAAGGCTTTGCGGAGCCCCAGGACTCTGCGGACCACACTTTAAGGAGTAACGCTGGTATAGACTATGCCACAGATGAAGAAAATGCCGATGCATTCAAGGAGAACTTCATTAAAACCTATAACGAAATGAAAGACCCATTTTTACTTTCCTATCTGTATACAGATATAAGGAAAGTATAGGAATCATGATTTTTTTCGACTTCGAGTTTTCGACGGATTTTTACGTTTTGAGGTCCCCTGAATCCGTTTTGACTATTTTCGCGATGATGTCTGTGTGTGTGTCTGTGTGTGTGTCTGTGTGTGTGTGTGTCTGTATAACGCATAACTCATGAACCGATACACAGAAAAACACCAAATTTTAAACTTAAGCATTGTTTCAGCGTCCAATGAGCTGATTAGATTTTGGGCAGAGTCGGAACATCTGGGGGGGTACTTTATAGGTGGTCATTTTCATATTTTATGGAATATATCTGTTATTTACGTTTTGAGAAGAAAATTCTTCAAACAAAAGTTACTTCTAATATAATTATCTATAATTTTTGTTTTATACAAAATTTTCCTAAAATGGTCCGTATTCGAGAAATTTGACAAAATGTAAAAAAATAATTTTTTATAAAAATTGTTCAAATAAAAGTTGTTTGTAATATAATTCTCTATAATTTTTGTCCTATACATAATTTCTCTAAAATGGACCGTATTCGAGATATTTGAGAAAATGTGTAAATTTCGAAATTTGAAGAAAACTCAAAAACGGATAAAGGAAAAAACATTAAATTTTAAACTTAAGGTTTATTTCGGCCTGACGTGAAATGATTAGATTTTGGACAAAGTCGGAACATCTGGGGGGGTACTTTAGGGGAGGCCGTTTTTATATTTTATGGAATATATCTGTTATTTATGTTTGGAGAAGAAAATTGTTCAAATAAAAGTTACTTCTAATATTATTATCTATAATTTTTGCTTTATGTCAAAATTTCCTGAAATGGTCCGTATTCGAGAAATTTGACAAAATGTGCAAAATTCTGATTTTTATGAAAATTGTTGAACTAAAAGTTGTTTGCGATATCGATCTCTATAATTTTTGTTTATACATGATTTTTCTAAAATGGACCGTAATGGAAAAGTGCTAAATTTAAATTTTTCAGTATTTTCGTTTTCAATGAATATCTATAGAAAAATGTTTCGAGGTAAATGTATATGTAAAATGTATATATTTAGTTTATCCTCTAAACATTTATAGAGATGCTGCAATAGGTTGTACAAAATAACCGGAAAATGCCTATAATAACTAGATAGGAAAGTCATGTGTTGGACACATCAGATTTTTTAAACAAGAAAACTGGAATAATGTAAACTCATGGTGCAAACAATATTTTAGAAATAACCCAATCAATGAGGAAGATAACACAGAATTCGAGGAGGAAAAATAATATCTGTTCAAAAATGACAATCATTTTTTAACAAGATACGTCAGTTACTCTTATAACCCACCCTGTATAAATAATGGAAAGAAAAGATAACATAAAAATAACATCATAGTTCATCATAAATAAAATAAAAATAATGTTTTAATCGCATAAAAACCAATATAGAACCACCATGTACATACAATATAAAAGTTATTTTTAGAATCGACTCATTTCTTACAAACAACAACATGGTTAAATATAGAACGCAAGCCAGGTGCAAAATCCGTTCAACCAATGACGACTCGACACCGTAAATCAGAAAAGCTTGTTTGTTGCCAAGGGCAAACAGGTCAACAGTGCGAGATCAAGTCAAGACTTAGTTAGAACAACAGAAGCTCTCTCACATTCAATAAGTAAAGTTATATTTTTTGATCTGCCAAAATTGGCACTGTAACATAATGTTAGAAACCCACGTGTAATTACCACAATGTAATATGCCAATTTAAGTTTTAAGTACAGTGTAAAATTGATGGTTGTATTAGAGTTTATCAAGTTTAAATAAAAACGTAAAAGGAAGGTACATCTTTAATTTCTACAAGGGGAAGTAAATCCAAATCAAGAAGTTGGTGCTCGAACCTCCTATAGAGTAACACAGTCCACCGTCGAAGGAAAGTACGTGACGTGGAACCGAGTAAAAAGTGCCATAGCCCGAAACACTATCCAATTAGAAAAACTCCGCTCCAGAATCGGACATGATCCCATGGCAAATTGTGAAAAAACTAGAACATAATATGCATATCTATATTATAAAAATGTTTGTATGCT